TAAGAGAATGTCTGACTTCCAGATCCATGCTTTTAGCTGCATTATTCTTCCTGGCGTGTGAACCCCAGTATCTACTTCTGGTGGGGGCAGGACATGCACTTTCTTCAGACTCAGGGGTGGGTGATGTCCTGACTTCTCAACCCCTACACCCTGGCACCTGCTGGTTGCTGAGATGAGAGTAGGTCTAGACAAAGCGGCTCAGGCAGTAGCAAGAAAACCACTCCCAATCCTGGTCTCTCGGGAGCTGCGTTTTCAGTCACACGGTCCCTCCTCTCTGGGTGTCTGCCTCTGTTCAGATCCCACTGGAAGGTACCGCGGCCAGAGCTATGTGGAATGTTTTCCTTGGCTGATGGCAACATGTTTTCACACTTTGCTGTGGGAAAGTTAAGTCAGGGAGTTCAGTCACCGGGGAGCATTTTGGACAGGTGAGACACTTCAACGGGTCGCCCCTGGCTGCCAACACTGGAACCCTTCAACCCTGTCACCCGGGTGGCTTCCTTCCACTGTTTTCCTTTGTCTAAGGTTTGTGCGGGCAGTAGGTCAACAGTTTGCAGAATCTGCCTCAGGGGAAAAATGGTGTTGGGAGTCCTAACCTTGCATTTCTATGGTTTTACTAACTGCCTTTGGAAATTCTTTTCCCATTTGTTTTCTGAAGTAGTTGGCTATTAGCAGGGGTTTATTAAAGGGAGACCTAAAATATACAACCCAAGGTTCACCTGACGCATAAGTGTTTCAGGATGATGTTCAGTACTTTTGATGATTTCTGACTAGTTATTTCTTTTAACTTTTTCTCTTCACCTCAAGATTTTAGTGTGAGATGTCATTATAGTTCTCTAGAACCCTAAAGACCATTGTTCTGGAAAACAAAGGCTTAAGAAAGGCTTTAGAAAGAGCTCCCTCTTTTCAGACTATAATCTTGGGCTCCTGTGGGTTTTTCTTGACATGACTGACGTGGCCTCACCTCAAAGTATGTCCGTTTTATGGACTAGAATGAGTGTGTTATTCCCCAAAGCTGGGGCGGTTCTTAAGAGCAGGGCCAGAATGTTCGGCTTTCTCGGCACAGACTCAGAGTTTCTGGTCCAGTGGGAGTTAATGAATTAGAACATTCTTCTAGGTTCTGTAAATACCCGAGGGTATAAGGCGTGGTCCTGCCCTCATTGAGCTTGCAAGCTCACTGGCAGCAGTGAGCAAAGCAGGCTGGTGTGAGTGGAACAGAGGGGACCACAGGGTGACTGGGGACCGATGTCCACCTCTGGAGAGGTGGCAACTGAAGGGGGCAGGCCACATTCCAGGAACACCTGCTTGGAGGTATAAAACCTGACTTCCAAAATGTGGACGGCTGATGGAAACCACCCAAGAACATCGCAGCTCATTACCTACGACCACATGAAACTGCCTGTGGGCTGAATACCACCCCTGGGCCCCCAAGATCCAGTGGGGACACTGAAGTAAAGAGATGCTGAAGGCTTGCCTGGCCTCGCCTCCCCCAGACGGCCGGCTTCTCGAAGCTGCAGGTGTCTCTGTGGCTTCTCTAGGCCTGGCACTGGGCAACAGGAGGAGTCTGTGCTCAGGGCAGGGAGCTTGGGAATGACCCTGAACTTCCTCTGGAGGGAGGTTTACCTGCAGGGGGAGGGCACCAACACCTTTCCTGGAAACAGGAGTTCAGCTGTTTGAGGTGAACTTTGTGGGGCTGAGGCAGAGCGCCCTCAGGGCAGCAGCTGAGAACGTGGGTTTGGGGGCTGGAATGGATGGAAGCGAACCCCAGCTCTGCCACTTACTGGCTCTGGGACTCTGGGCAAGTCACCTCACATCTCTGTGCCTCAGCTTTCTCGTGTTCACTAGAAGGGCAAGGATCCCTACTTGAGAAGGGAGCTGTGAGGGCTGTGTGAGCCACTGTGCGTGGAGTGCTGGGAGCCCTGCCTGACACATGGCGACAGCTTTTCCTGAGAGCTTACTGCTAATAATAGTAATATTTACAGTGTGAGTGGGAGAGGCAGCCAGCCATCATGATGAACAAGTAATGGTGTGTAAATGGGATGGACAATTAGCTCCCTGATACAAGAGCAAGGCTTGGGGCCCAGACTGAGGAGGACAAGAGAGCCACCCACCTCCCCTAGAAGGCTTCCACCCGCTGATGGGCCCCGGCCACAGGGAAGGTTATTGCTTTGGGTCATCTGCTGACCCAGGCTCCAGGCTGCCTGCTCTCAAAAGTTTACAACAGCCCCTGATCCTGAAGTGGAAAAACTGAGCTTCTGACAAGCTTGGGATCAGAACTCCCCTCTCTCTCCCAAGAGGATCCTCCTAGCGCAGAGCAGAGCATGGGGCAGCCTGAGGTCCCAGCACTGGGCGCTGCTGGAGGGGAGAAGGCCTCCCACTGCGAGGCTTCCTGAGATCTGGGCCGAGAGGCAACACCTCCTTCAGAACTGTTGTTTTTCCACCATGGCCAGGCTACTAACAGCACTAGTCCCATCATACCCCCAGAGGCTCCGGTGTGTATTTTGTAAGAATGATAATCATGAACGACAGTGACAATTAGCATCATTGTGCTCTGTGTTTACCGGGTGGGGAGGGCTCTGAGCTCTGCAGACGTGACCTGGGGCCTCACACTGTCCTCCCGGGAGGAAGGTGGCCAATGAGCCTCTCCAGGTGAGGCTCAGAGGCCCCCCGGGGGGCCTGACCAGGCTCCCACAGCTGCCCCTCGGGAACAGGAAAGCACTACGCACCACGGCTCACGGTGGCAGGCTCTCCCGTCCCGCCTCTCCTGGGCTAGTCATCTGATACCCTTCAGCATCATGGCTGAGGACTCAGCTTTGGGGGCCAGTCTGGGTCTGATGTGAGTGCTGCTGTGTGATCCGGGCACAAGCTCTCTGTGCCTGCTTCGTGGGGTCATTATGAGGGTTCCATGACTTAACACGCAGATCCTGCCTGGCATGAAGCGAAGCTCAGTTAATGTTAGCTTTTATTAACATTTAATATCATTTACCGGTATTGTGAGTTTGGACCATATGAAATTGCTGACTTTCAACCATTTTCAAATGGCAACTTCATATACACGGGTGGTTCTTTAAAACATTCCCTCACCTCGGGGGACATTTGGCAGTGTCTGGAGACACTGTTGACTGTCACGACTGTGGGGGGGTGGTGGTGGCACCTAGTGGGTAGAGGCCAAGGATGCTAACCTCCTTCCGTACACAGGCGTCAGCAAAGGGTCATCCAGCCCCAAATGTCAACAGTGCCCGGCTGAGTATAGGGCCCCTAATGATATTCCACTATGTTCAGATTACTTTTCTTTTTTGAATTAAAAAAATTTTTTGTTGAAGTATAGTTGATTTACAATGTTGTGTTAATTTCTGGTGTATAGCAAGGTGATTCAGTTATCTATATATATACTCTTTTTCATATTCTTTTCTCTTATGGTTAATTACAAGACACACCTAGAGATGATCACACTAAGTGAAGTAAGGCAGAAGGAGAAAGACAAATATCATAGGACATCACTCATATGTGGAATCTAAAATATGAGACAAATGAACTTATTCACAAAACAGAAACAGGCTCACAGGCATAGAAAAGGAACTTAACGGTTATCAAAGGGGAAAGAGGATTGAGGAGGGATAACTTCAGAGTCTGGGATTAGCAGATACAAGCTACTATAAACAACAAGGTCCTATTGTATAGCCCAGATTAATTTTCTTAAAGCATCCCTTTCCAAAAAAAATGACACGGCTCCCATGCCTAGGGAATAAAGGCTCATTTCCAACAGGCTCTGGACTCCAATTCATCTCCAATCTTGTCTCCTCCCTGCTGTGGCCACATCGACCTGTAACAGCAGGTGCCCCGACATGCAGGCCTGGAGTAACTGCTTTGCTCTCCCCACCAGCCAAACCCTAACACCTGCTCCGGGGAGCTTTCCTCGCATGCCTTTCTTGCCCAAACTGACCACTGCAATCACTGGTGGCTTTTAACTAATTGACTCCTGGGTCCTAGTCCTTGAGATTCCGATTTAGTGGGTTGGGGTTGGGGTGGGCTCAGCTATTATTTTATTTAATTAAAATAAATTTTTTTGGGGGGCAATTAGGTTTATTTATTTTTATTTATTTATGTATACCTATTTATTATTATTTTTTTTGATGGAGGTACTGGGGATTGAATGCAGGACTTCATGCGTGCTAAGTGTGCACTCTACCACTGAGCTATACCCACCCCCCTTTTATTAAAAAGAAGCTCTAGGGGCTCAGGCTCGGCCTGCTGTGGAAACTGCCGTGCCCTGGCACGCATCTTTACTTCCCAGTTGTTTCGTCCTGTTACCACTTGTGTACACCCACCCTTTGCATGCACTTCCCGCTTATTTTGTTGGCTGTCCTGTAAAGATGCTGGAGGGCACAGACCTCATGTTAGACACTCAAAGGGATCCAGCCCGGTACCTTGCCCTCCAGAAGTTCTAAGTAGTGAGTTAAACTTGAATCCAGGAATTTTCAGTCTTTGCTGAGCCCAGGAGTCACCTGAGATGCTTGTTAAAAATGCAGATCACAAGTTGGGAGTTCAGGATTTGCAGATACTAACCACTATATGTAAAACAGATAAACAACAAGGTCCTACTATACAGCACAGGGAACTATATTCAATACTCTGTAATAGCCTATAATGAAAAAGAATATATATATTCACACACACACACATAACTGAATCACTGTGCTGTACACCAGAAACTAACACAATACTGTAAATCAACTACACTTTAATTAGAAAAAATGCAGATCCCCAGGCTTCAAACCCCAGGGGTTCTGCCTCAGTGGCTCTAGACTGGGACCTTGGAATCCGGATTTTTAAGCATCTGGCTTTGAAGCCCGTGGCCTCCAGCCTGCTGTTCCAATCCTCTGAGCTGCCTAGCTCCAGAGCTCTCAGGGGCCTCTGGCACGATTTATGGAGGTAAATGCTCTTTTAATTGGCTGCTGGGACACCCGCAGCCCCAGGACCCCAGGACCCCAGGGGATACTTACACACATGCTGGCTTGTCCTCCTGCACCAAAAACCTGCAGGTTCCATGGAAGCAGAACTGACTGTGGGAATCTGGGCAGTCATTAAAATGGGACACCACAGCTGCGGCCACCGGCGGCTCTGTGGGGAAGAGAAAAGACATTTGGCGCAGATCCAAGGCGTAGTGAGACAGCTCACAGGCCCCCAGCCCACTGGAGAGGCAGCCTGGATGGCTGGGGTTTCTGGTCCCTACCTCCATCTCCTCCTCAGCGCTCACTAATTTTCTAATGGCCAGTCCAGGACCAGAGATGCCTGCACTGCGACCTTTCCAGTGGGACTTCATTTATTGACCTTTGTAGAAAACAAAACAATTTCTCCAGAAGACCCACTGTAATTCAGGGGTATCAGAGCGATTTTACTATTTTAAGCCTATTACCTAGGAGCGACCTAATTTTACTTTTGCAGAGTGATAGTGATCATTTTTTAAAGACAGCCTTCATGAAAATCTGCTTTAAAGGCAGGAAATGGGAGAAAGGTACACAAGAGGACTACATAACCATTAAATTGATGTTGAGGAAGAATAATGATGCAAAAAGATGTCCATGATATATTACTGTAAGTGAACTAGCTCATTTCCAACGTGGTCTGTATAGTATCGTCCTATTTAAATGAACAGAAATTTAGACGTCAAGAAGTCTGGGAAAGACACATAAAAATGGTAGCAGGGCCTCTGGGGTGGTGGGGTTATGTGTGACTGTGTCACAAAGATGACCTAATGCACAGAAGTCCATCTGGGGGCGGCACAGGCAGCACTGGGAGAGCCGAGGCGGGGAGGGAGCGGCAGCAGAGTCGGGGCCGCTCACAGCCCCGGCTCCTGAAACTCTCAAGAGCTTGGGGCATCACCAAACCTCTCAGGGTTTCCCTTCCTTGGCCAGCCAGGAGCACATGGACGGGAGTAGTGACCAGCCCAAAGGGCATCACTTTGGATTGATTTTTATTAGACTCCGACAGCCTTGTTTTGTCCAAATAACCCTTGAGACACAGTAGGTAGCTATTTCAAGATGGCATGAAAGACGTTTCTGTTGCATCTTTCAAAGGGTCCTCTTATGTTTGCGTTTTGGGCATTTGGGGGGTGGGTCTTTCTCATGTATTTGTTGCTGTTGTTGGTTTAGCTTTGTTTTGTTTTTTTTTAGTGGAAGTACTGGGGATTGAACGCAGGACCTTGTGCATGCTAAGTGTGTGCTCTACCACTGAGCTATATCCACCCCCTTCTCATGAATTTTTTTGGGGAAAAAAAACCCAGCTTGGAGCTCTTCCTCTTTGAGTGAATTAAACCCCATTTCATATGGTGGGATTTTAGGCCACCACGAAATAGTAAACTCACACTGCTGTCTCTCTCTCCAGGAATCGCTTCCAGAAGTGTCAAAATTGTAGAAATCTCATAATTCCAGTGGAAAAAGCAGAGGCTACAAATACAGCAGAATTCTCGCTGCGGAAGGCGAGAGAGCACCTAGAGGTCCCAAGCATGGGCTTAGGCGGCCGAGAGCCACGGGTCTGGGTCCTGCCTCTGCCACCCGGATGAAGTGCTCGGGCTCCCTCCCAGCTCTGTGAGACGGGGAGCCCACTGCCTTCTGGGGGCTCTGAAGCTGAGTGAGGCCAAGCTTGTCAAGTACTGCACTCAACAAACTGTCTGGAACAGACTGCTCAGCTGTCAGGTCTTCTGTTATCATCCCACGATGCTAATGAATCCTGACATGTGACAAGACCACTCTGGTATATAATCTCTCCTCCCTCCATAAATTCAGTAGCGTCAACTACAAGTCCAGGTGGGCCCTTTAGCCACTAAAGATGGTGACTTTCACACGTGAGGACAAGCAGAGAAGCCCAGAGCCAGGGGGGAGATGGCGACCCAGGGGTCCTGGCCAGCCCTGCCTGTGGCTACAGACATTCCTGCCCAGCAGCAGCCTTTAGACAAGGGGCCCAGCTGCCTTGGCTGATTACAGTCACCTGTGAGTCCCAGGCTGGGTGGTTGATGGGTGGCTTGGCCACTCGCTGACAGTGGACCCTGGGATGTTAAGTTGAGGCTGGAAGGTCTGCTGTAGTTCACATAACTGGCTCTGTGCTCACTAAACTCGTCAAGGAGCAGATATGGAGGATGAAGGGGCCGGAGACTAGTGGATCTAAGTTGATTTAGACATTGAAAAAGGCTTTAAAAAAGTTCCACAAAAGGCCACCGAAACAACCACCTCCCAGCGGCCAGGGGGAGTCCCTTGTCAGGGCTCAGAGCCGGGCTCCTCAAAGTGGGGTCTGTAGATCTGCAGCTCCACATCCCCGGGAGCTTGTCAGAAAGCCAAGTTCATAGGCCCCACCCCAGACTGCGGAATTAGGATCTTTGGGGCGGGGCCCTGGAATCTGTGTGCCAAGCCCTCCAGATGACTTTTAAAGTCAGCTTTATTGACATGGAATTGATACATGGTACTGTTTTTCCTTCAGGTGATTCTGACACGCACTAACGTTTGAGAGACAGTCTTCGATCACAGGAAACAAAGGACAGAGACAAAAGGCCTCTCAGAAAAGTAAAATGGCAGGGATCCTTGCTGGAGCTGATCATCTTCCAGCTCCTCAAACTTCCGTGGGATACTGAAGCCTGAATCTGCGGAGGCTTTTTGTGGTAAAGGGTTGGGTCAGTAGAAATATATTTGAAGGAAAATGCTGGATCTGTCTCTGGGAATGTCACTCTCTAAAGCTGACAGGCGAGGGGGCAGACTCAATGCCACCATCCCATTTAACCTGTATTTATGGATATTTTGCCTCATTTCATAAATGACTTGAGGAGGCTTTATAAAACTAGGTACCATGAAAAGAAGATGCAAATAGGAAAAGTGTGTGTGTGTGTGTGTGTGTGACAGAGAGACACACTGAGAGGGAGGGA